TTCCTTTTGCAGGCAAAAGCAGAACTTGTTTTCAAGACGCCACAAGCTGACAATACTTTGAATTTGCAAGTAAGTTTCTGGAAACCGATTTTATGAAGAAAAAAAAACCCAATTATTTATACTGTGAGAAACATAGTTGAAGTTTGGGTATTTTTGTTTTTGGTACCAGGATGTTCAAGGACTTGTTACCTGGGTTCTTGCCGATGGATTCATGCCTTCCTGGGTTTTTATTAAGGTAAATAGTATATAGGTTTATGTATTAAACTTTGTACTTGGTTTCCTTATTAATGTGTGGAACAAAGTGTTTCATTGTCTGGGTTTTATAAGAACGCCTTATTTTATATTGTTTGCAGAATAAGCCACTGATTCCTAAAGTTGCTATGCTTTATGTCCCTGGCCTGGATGCAGCTTTGTACTTGGCACAATCCATGAGACTTTCTGGTTTGAAACAAAGTTGTGGCAATCCTCTGCCTCTTTTAGCTCTTAGGCTTGTAATGATTTTGTTTCTGCTTTTCTTGTCTGTCAGAAATATGCTCAGCGTGATTTGCAATGCGGTGTGTTTATGAGAATCTGTTTTTATCATAGCTGTGTATCGGATGGGATGCAGACGATAGACGCACTCTTGACATGCAAGGTCAAGAGAAGAGAAATGTGATTGAGTCAGTGAAGGACGTGAGCCAGCCTGCTGAACAAGGTGCAAAATCTATCTTTGCGCTGTCCACTTCTTTGCTTGCAGAGTTTCTTACTTGTATGTTGGAATTAGGTGCTCTACAGGGTTAGTTGGTTTTCATTAGAGGATTGCCAGTCCAACTTGTGTGACTGAAAAAGCAAAGCTTTGTGGACCATAAACATGTGCCGTTTACTCATCTGGCGGTCTTAACTAATTTTCATGAGACAGAACAAAGGTATTTCAGCTGTTCCACACTTGTTGATAGTGGTGTTCCCAGTTCTTTACTATTCACTCTGAGTTGGGCTGCAATCCTCTTATTTGGAAAGATTGTACTCATTAATCATTTAAAAAGAATATTGGGAGAGTAAATTCATAAACAAACATTTTAATTATACACTAGATAATTCTTTCTGGTATCGCTGTGCTTTTCAAACTGTATATTCGGAATCATATTAATCAATCACTACCATGATTAAAGTTTTTCTTTATAATGTCTACAATCAAAAAGTTATATTTAGTAGATGAAACGGTTCCTATTATGTTGCATAGTTTATGTTGCTGTTTGGCAATCCTTTTGTTGCTTTCAGCACCACAACATTGCAATGTTAAGCTTACAACATCTTAACTAATTTGAGGATCTCTACCAATGCGATAACGGATAACGTGTTGTTAACAAAATGACATCTTTTTGCAGAAACAACCATCTCTTCAATGGACTCTGCAGAACTCTTGAAAGACAATGGATTTTGTTGTGATCAACAAGGTTCAAAAAAATGCTCTTCTGTGATTTTTACCTATACTTTTCTTTGCATGTTGATCTTGCTTCTTCATCGTTCAAATGTCTGAGGTTCATTATTGGATTTGTTCCATACAGGTTTTCTTTCTACTCTTCCTGCTTCTGATGGATCTTCTCCTTACGAAATATTGGCATTTGACTGTGAAATGGTAAATCCTGTCAGTTTATGACTTAATCATAATGACTTTTTGCTTCTTATTTGTGGAATGAGATAAAATCGTGTAAACTGTTAGGTAGTTAGAGAATATACAGTGACATGATAATGTTGCTTTCTTCGGAAGCAGTTAGATAAAATCCTACAAGTGCTTGAGAGCTTTTCCTAGAATTGCTTTGGAAGGCTAATTGGTCTTTGTACCCACCTGTGGTTTGGAAGTAGTCTACTTAATTGATAGTCTTGTATAACTTATCTAATACTAAACTTACAAATGTTCATCTTTGTACCCACCTGTCTCTATTGTTTGCATTTACAAATGTTCGTCTCTGGTGTGAATTTATGTTATTGTTTGCATTTACAAATGTTCGTCTCTGGTGTAAATTTATGTTATTTTTTGCATTTACAAATGTTTCATCTCTGGTGTGAATTTATGTTATTATTTGCTCAAGTTGAAAATAATTTTTCATATACTCTTGAATGACTATGCTTCTTACCCTTGGATATGGCTATTGATTTTACTTGTATTTATGTAGTTGATCTTATGTGCTCATCATGATGGACTTCATTTATTTCTCATAAGTCTTATGTTCATGTAGTGTATAACAAGTGACGGTTTCGAGCTTACTAGAGTGACCTTGGTTGATATTAAAGGATAGGCATGTTGTACAGAGTTTCTTCTCTCTCTTTTTTCATTTTTCTAATTTCACATAACATTTTGTTGTCAAAGGATAGGCATGTGTATTCTTCTCTCTCTTTTTTCATTTTTCTAATTTCACATAACATTTTGTTGTCAACTATTTCCTTGTATAAGTCTTATTACGTGCATGTTGTGTTTGTTGATTTAATTTATGTTGATTTCTTTTAGATAATTTTTCTTGTGACCTATGATTGGCATTTTTTGTATCAAATACAGCACATCCATCATATCTCTTTTTATCGGCTTTTTTCCAGAACATGTCACTCGTTCCTGTAAAAAAAGACTGAAAAAAAAGCAACCCATCTTTTTATTGCCGCAACATGTAAATGTCACAACATTTGCTAGATAAAGTGGCTAAAGCTGCAATGATTGTTTTGTTGACAGGTTGTACTGGATAAACTGGTTAAACCATCAAATCCTATCACTGATTACAACACAAGGTAAATGTTAATTGAACCGTTAAAGTTAGGTCTTAATAGATTTTGTTCTTTAACTGCAAACTTGATGAGAAGCTTTAGTTGGATCCCGACGAGGCATTTATTTTACATGTTTTACTTTCCATATGCATGAAAATTATCTTTCTTTTGTATATGATCGCTTAGTGCCATGTGGTTGTTATAGAAAAACGTTGGTCGAGACTATGTGGGTTATCTTGTGTGTAAAATTTTCCCACGTTTCAAATTTTTTGTCTGAATTTGGATTGACAGATAACAGATTTGATATCTTTGGTCATCCAACTCGGAGATCTTCCTCCCTCTCCATATACACATACCCAAGTTATTATCTCCTCTCTTTAGGCCAATTCATAATTTTCATTATTGCTTAAGCAGGTTTAGTGGAATTACATACGAGATGTTGAGTGGAGTTACTACGACTCTTCAGGATGTTCAGGTTCATTCCCTTCGTTAACCATCACTAATCAATATTTTTACTGCAATATTGTTATATCAATGTTCCATAAAGAGAGATTTCATATATAAATTATTGATAGTTGCTTCCTATCTCCAGGAAGATTTCCTAAAGTTGGTTCACAAAGATACCGTCTTAGTCGGGAATTCCTTGGAGAATGACTTATTAGCTTTGAAGATTTCTCATGATTTGATAATTGACACCTCTGTATTGTACAAACACCCTCGTGGTGGATCTTATAAAAGCGCTCTTCGAGTTCTTGCCAAGAGATTTCTTTCTAGGGAAATACAGCAGTCTGGGACCGGCCATGATAGCATCGAAGATGCAAAACTGATATGGATTTGGCTCTGTTAAAGATTAGAAATGGCAAGCAATTATTTTCTATGCATTCGCACATTTCAACGTCAAATGATAGAATTTGATATTTAACTGGAGTCTAAGCAATGTGCACAGTTTACATCCTTTTACATCAAGAACTCAAATATAGCTTGTAGCTGAAGGTTTATCATACAGTTATTTTTGTTTGTTGATGTATAAACTTGTATGTAATTTCTTACAATGTCTTTGCTTCTTGTATTAGGACCTGATTTTGGTTCGCCACCATCCTTTATGAGCAGAAAGCTCCTTACTCTTTTGGGTGAGTGTGGCAAGACCTCCTCTTTCATTGATGACATTTCCATAGTCAAGCGATATGCTTCTGAGTCATCCCATGCAATCCCGGTCTGCTCTGATGATGAGGCTCTTTTAAAGGCTAGAAAAGAGGTAAGGCTTTTATGTTGCTTTTCTGGTATACCTTCATCTATACCAGCTGGCTTATCAAATTTTTAAATTATGCATTCTGCTAGGTCAAGAACGATCGTGTGCACTTTGTCTGGACACAGTTTTCCGAACTGAACTCCTATTTCAGAAAACAAGCCGAGGACGAAGTAAAGTTGAATGGGAAGCTTGCAGAGATGATATCATTGCTTACATGTGATAAGAAACCTGCCGAACAAAAAGGAGTGAAATACAATATTTCAACTGAGCTCAAGGAAATTTTAACTCGCATTGATGCTAGGGTTCGTAGTCTCCACACTGCATTACCCACTAACGCTATGTTTATAATATGCACCGGCCATGGGGACATAGCCATTGTTCATAGGTAAATTTTGCTTAACCCGACACTCGTTTACTGTATTTATTTTTTCCATTGACTTTTCAGTCGTAATCTTAAATTTTGCCCCGGTTCTTTTCATGTGCATGGATGAAGGTTGAGGAAAATGCTGACTGAGCAAAGTGAAACAAAGGTTCCACGTGAGAAACTTACTAGAGTATTGGAAGAGCTGCAAGCCCAAGCTGAGGTAGCTTTATGTTTTGTCGGTATGAAGCATTAGATATCAAAAGAATACCATTATACACTAATTTGACTTGCAATTTTCTGGGAGCAATGAAGAATGCTCATTTAAGTTTTACAGGCTATTACAATTTTAACAAATGACAATCATTCTTTTGATGTTGTATTGGGAAAATCTTGTAAACTATGATGAAAATTCTGTAGTTCTGATGTTTATCAAGAGTTTGGTACACTTCTCTTTCTTGGTTTCTCCTTATTTATCTTTTTAGGGGCATAAACGAGATATCCGGGTTCGTTAATTACTCGGACTCGACTAAAAGGAACTCAAAACTGGCTCAGATCATTAATCAACCTCGAACTTAAGTTGCTCGAGTTATTCAGTGAACCGAATTCAGATGAAATTAAATGCGCACATGGAAGTGAATTAACACTTTTCTGCTGAAGAATGTAAAGCAAATGGAAATGTAATATTATAGAAGAAAAATGTTAGATAATTAGCAAACCCTACTCTGAAATTTTACATCAACCCAAAGAGGATTAGGAAGTATTTTTCTGGACCAACTTTATAGTTTACAATGAACATTCAGAACTAACTCCATGCTGAAGCAACAATCAAGCTTTTTTCTTCCCAACCGAAATGAAGTGCACCCAAGTCCTCCTTCAGCTTGTACCTGTCACAGTACTCCTTGATAAGCTTCCGGATCATATCGATTACATTCGAACTCATTGGACACGGTTTGAAGCCAGCCATCTTCATCCTTGCCCTCCACTTTCCAGCAACTTCGTATCGTTCTATCCTTTCATCTCCTTCGCATGCAACAATGTTGACTATGTCTCGTGCCAGGCACTGCCTTTCAACATTCATCCGATCCTGGCTCTCCCTGGGAAGTGTAGCATCCAGGGAATCGAAAACAGCAGAGTAGTAACTATAGGCTTCGATAAACCTTGGAAAGAAAGGCGTTGTGTTTGTGTTTACATCCTGCTCGACAACAGTAACGAGTTTTGGATTCATACTCTTAACCATCCGAAGAAGTTGATCTCGTTGATTGATCGTTGAAACACTCTCATCAGGCATGTGGTGGAGTTGAAATGCAAAGTTCACTATAAGTGCTTCGCCCGGCCTGTAATCCAACATAGATGGGGTAACAAGTGCAGTCCTTGAGGGAACAGCTCGAAACTCAAATGGCACGCCTAGTACTTCTGCTAGCTTCTCCAGTCTTAGTCCGACAATTCCGAGACCTCCATTAAGACGTTGAACTGACTCAGGGTCATCAACTCCAGTTAATCTCAAATGAGGCGGGTTGCCGGGCTGCTTGGCGATAGTTTGAATCAGAGTGATATATTGATTACCTTGACTTATATCGAAATCTATTATATGCACTATTTTTTCATCTTTAAATGCCTCGATAATTGCACCGTTTGCTGCTATAAATCCAAACTTGAAACAAGGGCACACTTCAAAGAGGATTTGCATGGCTGCAAGCCTATCAGAAGAAGGGGGCTCTTTGCATCTTAAAGCTTTATAAAGATATTTCCCGGATGATGCCATGCGAGCTGCAAGACCTTCGACCATGTAGGCCGCGATTCTCTGGGGCGGATCCCCTTGAATCGAGACCATCTGGCGAAGCTCATTTATTATGGCTGAAGCTTGTTCAATGTTGCCTTCTGAGACCAAAGCAGCACATTCAATCAACATTTGCTTAGGAGATCGGGATGAAACATTTGATACCTCTTTGTTGCTGCTAATGCTACCAAGAAAAGAACCCGAAGACGATGACTCCTTTGGTGAGTCATGAAGAGAATCCATCCTGATAGGGTTGGACCATTCACAGTCTACTTCCATGCTTGGACCAGTGCCAAACATGTCAAAATTGCCATCAACATCATTATCAGCTAGCAGAGCTCTCTCCAGTTCTTGAAGCTTCAGTTTCATCCTATCCGGGTCAGAGTCCAGCGTATCTGGGCTTTGGATTTCCATGTAATCTGATTAAAAACCGGGTTGGATGATATTAGGACATTGAATTAACAAAACAGAAGATTGCACTGTTATGGTTAGAGTTTAGACCAGTTATGGACAAAAGTGAACAACCTCTTATCTGGTAAGAAGGAATCGAACTTCCAGAGATCCCAGAACTAGATGAGTGTATAAGCTCATCCATAGGAGATTCAAGGAAGTACTTCTCGTAGCTCTCGCTGCTGTAAGAATCCGTAGCATAAACAAGCTTATGCTTATCAGGACCAGACATTCGAAAAGCCATGTTGGTACTGTCACCGCTATTCTGTACTGAATAGAGCTTTGTATTTCTACATGATGCAGCAGGTGGTTCTGCAGACCTTATTAAAGACATGGTTTAGACTCTCTGCACAGTCGAATTATAAAACGATTCCTGCGGAAAAAATCGCAAATTAAACACTGATGTAAGACATGCACACCAAAGAATGCCCTTCAAGGTAAAAGGGATTATGAAGTTGAATAGCAATGAGTAACACGAGATAATCTGCATCACAAGACTAATCATCCGCAGCAAAGGTGAGACATAAGAGCACAAAAACAGGTTTGGATTTAAGAAAACATGGAACTCGATATCCCTTCGTTGTTCAGTTCGGGACATCCAGAAATCGAAGCTCGATCGGGACGATCACACGGGTAAATGGTGAAAAAAAGCCCAAAAATGTAACTTATTTGGGGATTTTCCCCCAATACCAGAAACATCTGAAACAATCCACAGACAGAGAACACTCAATTTCGACGACAACCATAACCGAAATCGAAATCGGTAAACAAGTCTACCAAATAGTTAGTGACATAAAAATTCCAAGGTTTTGAGAAATTCTGAGGGGAAACAACGGGCAAACAGGGGATTGAGGAGACAGCAAAAACAAAAATTCTGAGATTAGGAGGATCAAAACGTACATGAAAAATTCCAAAACAAGTTCTTGATGTGTCATTTGAAGGCATAAAAACCTAATCTAGAAGTTGAAAAAGGAAGAACAAGACATCAATCATCGATAAAAAAAAAAAAAAAGGTTTTTTCCTTTACCTGATACATGAGAAAAGACCTCAAGAAGAAGAAACGAAACCAAAGATCATTGTTTCTGCAGTCAAATTCCAGATAAAGATGAGTCTTATAGAACTGTGGCTTCAGTGGAGATGGAAACAAAGGGGTTGACCCTGTAGTATCCAACTAATTAAATACCAATCCCAAGCAAATATACCCCTTTATTCTTTAAAATTAATTACATTTAAAAAAAACTAAAATATTGAAATGAAAATAAAATAAAATAATGAAAAGATGGGGTAGGTTTCAAAGGGTTTAAGCTGCCATATGAGCCTGCATGGTTCTCAGAATCGGACCGGCCAACGAACTGATCGTATTATTGGTTCATTGATTTAACTGGTTGAATCGGTTAGATTGGTCGAAAGAATCGGACGATGTCATAATTAATTAATTATTTAAAAAATTAAATAAAAATATAAAAAACATTTAATAAAAAATAGTTTTTTATATCATAAGCCATATTCAAAGCAAGTTATAACATATATAAGTTAAAAACCATAAAATCAAGTGAAACAAAATGATTCAAATCAACTACAACATAATATTTAAGGTAAAACATATTAAATAATAATTATAATTATATAATTATAATCAAAAAATAAATTTGGAGCTAAAAAAATCATAACAAACGATGTCGTTTGGTTTAATTTTTTTTATAAAAAAACAACATTGCTAAGAAACATAGTAAATCATCACAAAAGTCTAAAGAGAAAATATGAAAACAAAACAATCTCATATTGCTAAGAAACATAGAAGAGCATCCCAACTGACTTCTATAAATAATATAGGTAATTTGACATTCAAAATCATGGAGCCTTTTGGTGAGCACAGAGCGAACTATTCTTTCGCTTCAATCGAGTTCGAATTTCAGGCTTCAATCGAGTTTCTAAATTTTTTTTGAGTTCGAGCCTTTTTGAGTTCAAATTTTAATATTATATTTCAATTGAACTTGATAATTTTTAGCTCGTGAGTTTTTTAGTCGAGTTGAGCTTACTTTTAAAGTTTTCGAATTCGAGTCGAGCTCAGCAATACTCGAGTTCGACTCGGCTCGTTTAACAAACGACGTCGTTTGATTTAATTTTTTTAGAAAAAAAAAACAGAACCGATTTTCAACCGGTTCACGGTTTGATCCTGTTCGAACGGTTCACAGCCGGTTCAGCGGTTCCTTCAGGTTCACTAGTAACGGTTTAACCGGTGTAGAATGAATCGGACCAGAAAGCGGTGAACCGGCCGGTTTGATTTTCAAAACATTGCTACCAGGGACGACAATAGTGGGGTTGGATCAGATTTTTAATCGACCAGATTTGACTCAACTTCACCCCAACCCCAATCTGAGAAATATATGTATTTCATCTGATTCAATATATATATATATATAATTCATTTGATTTTTATCTAACTTAAATTTTTAGATTATAAATATGATTTGACTCATATAAAATAAGGATTGAATTAAAAAAAACATAGATGAGATATTATAACAATTATTCATAAATTTATTTGAAGAAATTATATTATTATCTTCGAGTTAAGTCGGAGGTTTTTACCCTCAACTTTAATCCGATCTGATCTCACTCCTTTATATAATCCGATACGATCTCACTCAACTTGAACTCAATATTTAAAAAGAAAAAACCTCTAACATTATTGAATTTGATCAAATCAGAATTCGACGATTTTAGGTAAATTACCATTTCTATAACAGATAATCAAATATGTCAATACATTGAAAATAGAATCCAATATATTCTTGGAATCAAGAGAAAAAAGGAAAGTGGTGAGAAGCGCACCGCACCGCACCTTTTTTTTTTTCAATTTCTAAAGACAGAAACTTTGTTCGTTTCATTACAACACATTTTCTTTCTCATCTTGGTCTGCAAGTTTATACCAACTTGTTTGACTGAACGATGTCATCGTAGGCTCATTTTCGATTTATTTTCTAATCATCCAATCCTCATAGTCCAATAAATTTTAGGATAAAGTACACAAATGGTCCCCTAGTTATAGGATGTTGATTTGTTAAGTCCCTCGATTATTAAAAATTAAAAAAATGATCATCTGGTTATAGGGTCTTACTCTATTGAGTCTTTCGACTACTAAAAGTTACAAAATAATCACTCGAGTATTCATATGTCCTAAACTCGTCTTTTTTGTAAAAAAAAATTAATCGTCGTCTAAGTTAGATCTTAACATGCTAACAGAGTTATGATAGTCGTTTGAGATTCTGAGATTAAATTTTATCATATCTCAGTCAGGGAGTTAACGTCTAACTCAGACTGTCGTTATTTTTTTAATAAAAGAAGACGAGTTTGGAACATATGAATAGTCAATGACTATTTTGTAACTTTTAATAGTCTGAAGACTCAACAAAGTAATACTCTATAGTCGAGGGACCATTTGTGTACTTTATCCTAAATTTTATTTTAATTAAGGTATCCATCAGTAATTATAAGTTTTATGTTTGAAAATATTTAAATGGGATTACTAATTTTTAGGAGAATGAAATTGTATTCTTATTTGACAAGGGATTAAAAAGGCTTAAATTAAGTTATTAATTCAAATGAGAGTAAATGTAATTTTCTTGAGGTCAAAGCTTAAATTAAATTATTAAATTGAACTTTTGGTTTCATTTTTAAATAATATTTTATTTAAAATTATAAATGGTAAATTTACATCATTTTGACATTTTCAATGAAGTTAGGTTTTTAACTATTTTGTTGGTTTCTTTTACGAACAAAAAATGAATGTCCATTGTTCCCATATGTAATGGGGTAAGGGGGAGGTAAGATAGTAGGCTGCCCCCAATACTAGGTTATGAGCAGCTTCCGTAGGAGACCTCCAAATTATGAAATACCCTCCATGAGACTCGATCTCACGACCTCAAAGTTAAGAACCTTGTGCTCTACCAACTGAGCTGGATGGTCATGGGGGAGTGGTACACAACTTTCGTAATCATCATCACTGCTGAATGTAGAAAAATCACGCTTAATATATGATTAAAAAATATTATCAATTTTTTATTATTTTTTTAAAAAAATTAATAAAAATTATCAAAAATATTATTATTTTAATCAGTTTTATTATTATTAGGTGCTTTACCGAATTTGATAATATATATGGTAATTTTTTATCGATTTTGTTAAAAAAACAAAATCGATAATATCTTTTTTTAACCGTATATTAAGATCGTCGTACGGTAGAACTTCCCAAAAAATGTACCTAAAATTAACAAAAACATATTAACAGATATATATACATTATTTTTTAATTACCGAAATTATTTAATTCATGTTTATTTTTCATCTTAAAATAATAATAATAAGGACTTGTTTTAGCGCGTAAGCTACGGAAACGCGGGTTAGGATAAAAAAGGAGTTGAGAAAGTTGGTTTACATCTGTTTTTTCTTACTTTGTGGCTAAAACACGTTGTACGAAAGAGATCTCAGTCAACCTCTTTAACCAACTTTGGTGGCTTTCTTTTTTCTCTCTCCTTTATATTATGTTGTTTTTGGGGAAAAATATTTTTATTTGAAGTTTTACATAAAATAATTCCTTTTTTTTAATGTTAGGATACTTTTTCAAATATAGGGTATTATTGCTCAATATTCTTATAATTCTTACGTTCGAACATATAATTTCTAAATATAATAATAATTATTTTAAGCACTGATATCATTTGAATTATAAAAATTTAAACCCGTTATATAAAACTTAAATGTTATTTTAGATGGCATGATATTACTTGAACTAGTTTTTTTAAAAAAATCTTTGAAGTGTCGTTTTGTGATCTTTAGTACATCCATAATCACCAATATGTATTTTCTTTGAGTAATTTAGGATAATTGTAATATAATATATGTTCAGAAATTTCTTAACTAATTGATATCATACATACACTTTACAGACGTAGATACTAAAACCTAAAATCTCTGAAAAATAATATTTTTTATTACTGAGACCATTAAATGGTCCCATCACATATTTTAAGTTTGAGTTTGTTTCTCTGATTTAAATAATAATGTTAAAATTTGGTTGAAGTATCAACGTAGATTGATTTAAGTGGTAAACAGTTTGATATCGTTTAAGAAATGTCTCGAGTACGAATCCTTGTATATGTAGAAAATATCTGTCGAGAGACTCACTCACCAAAATAATGTATACGATACGAGTCTATCCAAATTAATTAAGCTAAAATCTTGGAACCCGAAGGATAAAATAATTTGGTTTGAAGTTTGACAAAATGCAATGTGAAAAGAATCAAAGACAAGTGTTGAGCAATCATAAGATAAGAAATAGTGGGAAATGGGCTTTGAAAGTGTTGCAAAAACTCTTAATTTGTCAAATGAAATGATTATCCTAATTCCACGCTTACAAATCTAGATGGATTATTAATTAGTTTTGCTAACGAGTATTGTTTAGATAAGATTTCATGTCTATTATATACAATGATTGATTTTTATTTATCATTTTAGAAAAAAAATACCAGATAATAATAATAATTTTAAACAAAATCATTAAAATATTATATTTTACCACTTGATCAAGTTAAAACCCTAAACAGTAGTAATCTTTTCTAATTTAATGGTGCATGTGCATGGATTAAATGTGAGGTAATAATAATATTTATCTTTTTTATGACATTTTACATTGCACTTTTTTATTAATTTAGGTAAGTATAAAATAATATATATTCAAATATAACTTTCAATTTTTTTGACATGGAAGGCTTATATCTCTAACATTTCTAATGCTAGAACCTAAGACCTAAAAGAATAACAATAATTCTTTTACCACCAAGATCACTTAGATTTGTGTACTAAATTACCCTTTTAATATATATATATATATATATATATTCTTTTACAGGATAATTGTGGATGTGCTTCATTACACCTCCCGTCCTCCGAACCCTAATCATATTCACTTTTTTCTGTATTTATCTTAACATTTTTAAATTTAATCTCCCAAGCTTTCTCACCGATTTTTAAATTAAAAATTATTAAATTTAGATATTAAATAAATACATGTATCATATTGTAAAAAATTCAAATGTAAATATCAATTTATATATTATTTTTTAAACGAAAATGAAATTATATTTTGAAGTTTTGAGTTAAATATAA